TCTGTCCGCCACAAATATTGAAGTCGTAATATCACTAGAAAAATGTTTAAAGCACATAAAATCATATTAAAATATATACATTTACAAGTATGTACTTTATTTACAGTACATGCATTCGTAAATTTAGATTACTTTTTCTGTACTAAATTAATTAAAAACTAAAATTTATTTGTTTGCAAGCTTAAAATAGATCCTTATTAACCATACATTATTAAAAATGCATTAATAAATAAAATACAGAACCGGAATTGGCAATTTATGGTTTAGCTTAGTGACAAGTAGCTTTGGAGACAAGTAAATTCGACTTACGTCGTTTTTCGACTTAAGATCGTTCTCCTGAAACTAATTACCGACATAAGGCGAGGTATACCTGTATAACGATTTTTCTAAACGGTGGATCGAAAGCGTTTGGTTGGCGGCGCGTTTAGTCACCGAGCGCCCGAATCGTACGTCATCGTCTTATGTGTTAACGTAATAATACAATTATTATACAAAAACAATTGACATCCAAAGAGAAATATCCGATATATAAAAAATTCGCCAAGTAAACATTTATGACAATTTAGACGACGGCAAAAATATTTCTTAGGAGTTTTTCTTTGTTAAAGATAAGGTCGGCGCTCGGAAGCGGTACGTGTACGTGGCGATTTTGTATATTTTATAATCTCGAAGAACTATAGACAGCGTACAATGAAATTTCGAATGTAATACAATGCGTTTTTGCAAAACAACGAACTTTTTCGGGTACCGTCACGTAAGTGTAATGACAAAAATTATACGAAATGTGCAGAAACGACGAAACTGCATCCAAAATAGTACATTTGCCAAACGGAATTAGCCAAGAAGAATAACCCAGCGTTTTACCCGTTTTATTTTAATATTAAATTATTTAAATATTTTTCCATAAAAAACGGTGGGTAATTTTCTTCCGTCCGCCGAACGGATTTTTTTATCTGGTGCGTTTTTGGCTATGTTAGGAAATTCCCAAGCAGGAATGCGGACAGACATGGCGGCGCCCGGAGCGAGTGTGACAATTTAAGAAATTTCGTCCTTAGTCGGGTTTTGGTGTAAAAATTCGAGGCCTTTGAAGTCGATCGAGTTCGGAAGAAATCGTTTTGGTCGGCCAAGTATTAAATACGATAAAAAGCGAAAAGGTCGTCTCGACGTACGGAAAAATAAAGGTTTGGAAAATTGGATCGAGGGGAGAAGGCCCGGTGCCGGTTAACGGCAAATTACCATGGAACTGAAACGTAAGTATGCTTTTTAACAGTAGATGGACGTTAGCGTAGAGCTTTCCCGGTCCAAGTCGGGCGCCAATTAACCGGAAAATCGTCGGTAGTTATTCCCGTTTCGACTGCATTTACGTCTTCGTCCGTCGGCCGGGAAACGAGCCGCGACGGAGTGCAGCGATTAGTCTTACCGTCCCGAACATCGGTAAAATTTACGAACCCGGGAGAAAATAACCGTGGCCCCCCTGTCCCGGGCGGACTACTTAATCTACCAACTATAACATGTTATTAAAACGGTGCCCGTTTAATTGGCGCGAATTAGTGGGTTTTACTGAGTTTGTTTGTTATGGCAACACGACACTTGGACGATCCGCCTAGGGGGAATGCCTTCCGTGAGTTCTTTTTAATGGAACTGGCCCATATTTACGCGTTAAGGACGTGGAGAAAACCCAGAAAACTCCACGTGGCCAGCATGTCCGAGCGAGGCGCGAACTCACCACCGAACTCCCGGAGTTTGGGGTATGAAGACCGCTTGGCCGCCAGTGGGCGTGGGTTTTACCGAAGGTTGGTATTAGGGCTATTTTGCACTGTGACCGACTGGTCCGACTTGACCGATCCCGTAATCGGACCGACTAATAGTAAAAGCATTCGCATTGAGTTTGATTATATATCGGTGGCTGATTTGTAAGGACCAATCAGAACTGGTGTTAGAAATCGTTTTAAGTTTTTCTAATTTTTAAAAATATTTTTGTAATCTACCTCGTTAAACTTTGTGGATTTGATCTTACTTCGTTTATAAATTGTTCCAAAAAGTCTAAATATTACCATCTTTTCTCTTTATGTCGATAATGTTTTTTTAATATATATATATTAAAGTCATATGTATTATTCCTGTATAAAATTTAAGCAGTTATGAAAGAAATAAGGTACGAGGAAAAATTTAAATAAATTAGAAATATACATAATGTAAAGTTATGTTAGATTGATTTGATAGTTTTCGTATATCCAAAGTCTGATTGGTTGTAGTTTCGAAGCTCTCGTTGGCTGTAGCTTGCCGACTGCTCCGACCCGACTACAAATATTTAACTTTTTAAATCTGTCCGACTGGAATGATCGATCCGTGGACCGACTGCTGTTTTCGTGGCAACACGACTTGGAGTCGGACCGGTCGGTCATAGTGTAAAATAGACCTCAGATGGACGGACGTATGTTTCGTTAACGTCGACGTCTCTTTATTGCCACCCTTGTCATCCTACCTGTAGAAAGATGGAAACTGTAAGATTTAACATAAAATCATTGTTTTTAATATGAATTACAGATCAAACAATTTACCACAACTGCACAACTGACGTGACTCGATGACAAACAATAAAATCACATACATTATAGACGTATCTGTTCTAAACACTCGTGATGTACAAAACGCGTGCACCGAAAAAATCGGCACTTATGCGGAACTCGAAGGCGTCCGTAGAGGACGGGTGGAGTGCTTATTCTACCTGTTGTTGTCTCCTCTATGGGTGTTGTACCACGCACGCTGTGTAAAAGCTTGGGAATGTTACGATTGAATAGAAACACGTATGTCACATTATGGAAGGCCACTGTATTGAATATGTGTCATATTGTTAGGAAATTCCCGAAAACAGATGTGCACAGATACACATTTTGGTTGCTGTGCCTCGACTCTAGTTGGGCATAGTATGTGGCAACTGGTGTTGACTGAGTGTAACTCGCTAAACCCAAAATAAAAATTATGCTATTATGATACAGTATTTTGATTATTTCAAGAAGAATGTTTTATACATTTAAATGTTTTATATTAAATTTTTAGAATCTTTTCAAATATAAATTATTCTATTTACAGATATATTTAAAAAAGTGAGAGGATTACAAAGAGTAAAAATTATCTATAATTGTTGTATTAAGAATTTCTATAGCACTACTGTGTCACCGGTTGTTTGTGAAGATGATGTTAAACATTTTAGAACGTTAGAATCGAATCCGGTAAGTACTTTGTTTAGTTTTTTTTCTAATTTGGCAAATTCGGCTTAGCATATGCGAAAAGAGAATCGTGATATGCAAAATTTCTCTTTTATCATTTTCTTGTCGAAATTAATCAAACAGAGCGTCAAACTTAAATGGAAATTATGGCAGCCCTATTTGTTTCTCGATCCGAAAGAAATAAATTAAGTTGACTCTCCACAACTATGAAATCGTCTCCAATTTATGAAGATCATTTTCGAAATTGGCTTATTAGACGATCTTTGAGTTTGCAGTTGAAGAAAATGTCTTGAACCATTTTAAAAAATGCTTTCAAATGCAGAGACACACATCAGATGGCCAATCAAAGATGACTTCTGATCCATTGGTAAATTATGATGAACTAAGATTTTTGACCTTATTAATCGACTACAAAATTCAAACTAGAGAATAAATAGTATATTTTGGAAGATCTGTGCTCAAACAGAATAAATTTGTGCATAATTTATATTGAAAATGTTAAAACTAATGGAAAGAACTGACCGAGCATAATATTTTATTATAGCTGGTTATTAAGCAATTTCTGGCATGGGACAAAGTATCTGTGGCACGATAATTAATGCGGTTCTCTTTCATTATAATTTCTTCGTGTTTAACAATGTTAGTAGTATCAATAAGTTTAATGAAGGTTTTATTCCAAAAAGTTTTTTCTACTTGAATATGGAGAGAGTGGAGAAAATATATCCTTTTGCACATTGTACTCGAGTCTTTTAATTTTTGTGTTAAAGTGCAAAGAAGCGTGGCCCACATGTATGTGTTTAAATGAAAATGGTCAAAATCCATTGTCTATCCAAATGCTGAGATTTTATAAAACAAGTTCAACATGATGGGTTGCTGGCCAGAGAGCACCTTCAATTATTTACTTTGAAATACAGCTTCATTTGTTAGTATATTTACTGAATGTAAAGTTGATGGAGAAAGTAGCTACATCTTTTGCAAATGTTTAACTGCTTGTTGTGCTGGATTCCAAATTTCATTCCACTTTTTGTGTTTTAGGATGAGGATATATTTCTTTTAATTCATCTGTATCTGTCACAGAATAAATACCACTTGAAATATGCCATTCAAATTTAAAGCCAGTTTGATACATGTGTCTTCCCAAATTTAGTGCATCTGCTCCATCTTCTCTGTGATGGATTGTGACTGCAGGGTTGGTACCTCTTTGGCACCTTGTCAGGATGATACCACTGTGTCTTTACGGACAGACATGGAAACTGGATTTGCTGCTTATTTCATTGTGCGAGCAGTCGCATTTGCAGGCTTTTGGACCTGGAATGGAGGTGGAAGGAGAGAACCAGAAGTACACACCACAAGTTATCATATATATATATATATAGACCTTATTACTAAGATTACGATCCTGACTGCGAGAGAGAGAGAGAGAGCTCACATTCTTTCGCGGGACAATAGATACCTTAAAAACTTATTAGTCCTACAACATTACAACATAGGACCAATAATGTAAATATCCATTATACTGATTTAGTTCACGTAACTGCTCTTGATTGGAGCTCTCAAAGACAAGAGTTTATGGAAGCCAGATTATCAGAAATGGGATATATAAAGCATGGAAAGTTGATTTAACAAATACTTCAGTATAGACCATTTTATTTTTCAAGATCATTGAGTTAAAAAAAGAAATAATCTGTTAAATAACTCTCTTATTTTAAATTTAAAGTAAGGCAGATGTGTTAGTTGAAATGTAAGGTCTGTCCAAAAAGTTTAGATAGTTTAGTTTTTTGTGAAAAATTCTATTTAAATATAAATATTGTAATAAAAATATTTATATTAAATAAAAATAACATCAATTAATAATTCTTAGTACAGTACTTAGAAGAACTTTATCCAATAATTTAATTTAAAAATTCAAAAAATACAATAATGTGTGTCCAAAAAATTTATGTAATTTTTATTTATTGGATTTTTTAAATCTTTAAACTTTACAAGTATTAATAATTTTATTCAGTTCTTTAAAATATTACAAGAGGGCATTATTTTAACAAATTTCAACAAGTGCTTTATCTGTAATATTAATCATGCCAAGAAACAAACAATTCACTTACAATGATGTGGTTTACATTAGGAAAAGAAAAGCAGAACGTGCTACAGTTAATCAAATTGCTAAAGAAATTCATAAGTCTGCTTCAGGAATATATAAAGTTATTGAAAAACGTAAAAATTGGAAATCTAAATCAAGATCTGGAAGACCAAAAGTGATCAGTGAATGTAATAAAAGGAGAATTTTAAAGCTTGCTTCAAATTTTATATCCGTTTGCAGTGGATTTGGGTCATAAAGTAAGTAAAAGCATCATTTATAATCTATTAAAATCATCACTAACAATTACTTATACAAGAATGGCCAAACAGTCTCCCTTAAAACTACAACACATTATGTTAAGGTTAAACTGGGCAAGAAAATACGTGTCATAGAAAGAATAATGAAAAATTATAGTGTTTAGTGATGGAAAAAGTGGAATTTGGATGGCTCTGATGGGTGGATCTTCCATTGGCATGATCTTAGATCTTCCTAGAACCAAAACACATTTGAATAGACAACAAGAGAAGGAAGAATTTGGATATGGTGGGAAGATTTCAATTGCATTTATGGTGCTTTTGATTAATGGAATGCCAGCCAATATGAACAGCAATGGGTAAGATTCAAGCTCTGAATGAGGGATTTCGCACACCCCCGTATTGTTGACTCTTTGTGAGATATTTGTCTTCAAAGGTCAGTTTTTAACACATATCAATCTACCGCCTATTCTACATGCTTCGCTATATAGATGTGTGCCTCAGTGCTTGCTTTTGCTTGCACCTCAGCACCTGGGTGGGGGCAAGTACCCACATTTCCCTGAAACTACATGACATTAAGTACTCCACAGTCAAGTGGGCTAATTGAAGCTGGCACAGTTGCATGGGCTAAATTGTTAAATTCAATAGTCTTCTGGCATCTTGTTAACTGAAAAGAACCACATTTATTTCTGGACATCAAAACTCGAAACTTTATAAACAAACTCTTCAACAGCATGTTTACATTTTGGAGAACAAATTGCTGGAAATAACTGGATATTTCAGCAAGATAATGTTCCCAATCATGTTTCTAATGCAACTCAAACCTGGTTTACAAAAAATAATCTCATGAAGTGGCCAACTAAAATCCCAGACCTTGAACCCTATTGAAAATCTTTGGGACATTATATCTAGACAGGTATATGCCAAATGCAAGTAGTATTGAACCATACATGACCTAACTCTGAAATTGAAAAGTATTAGAATAATTTACCAGATGAAACTATTAAAACTTGTATTTTAACAATGAGAAATAAAATTTGAGTTAATTTTATATAAAGGAAAGTGAATTAAACTTTAAATATAAAATGTATTAAAATAAATCAACAAATCCATTTAGGCTGCTGGGATTTGCATTTATTTTACAAAACATTTTCAAATATTTAAACATACCATGTTTCCCCGAAAATAAGACAGTGTCTTATATTAATTTTTGCTCTGAAAAATGTTTTAGGTCTTATTTTCAGGGAATGTCTTATTTTTTCCAGGAATAAGAATTCACATTTATTATTGAACAAAAAAATTCCGAAGTCGAACTTAGACGAGAGTGACGTATATCCGGTGTGTCGAACTGTCGCCTTTTTATAGCGTCAACATCGGACTCGATGACCAATTAGTGCTTACTGAACCGTAGCACTATGCAAATGTCAAGTGGCGTGATTCCCGGCCGACCAATTAACCATCACCAGCCGTAACGTTATGCAAATCTGTGATTCCCAAGCCATACTCTTATGCAAATCATGCCGTGTGGCGTAATTGTCTGCTGACCAATCAGTGGCTGTACTTTCAAAAAGCCAACAGCCACTTTCAACCATCTGTCAATGACTGTTACGACTAAAAAAAAAACTTCGCTAGGTCTTAGTTTCAGGGGGAGGTCTTATATTTCGCAATTCAGCAAAATCTGTGCTAGGTCTTATTTTCAGGGAAACACGGTAGTTATTTTTTCTTGTGTTGTATTTTGGGACAATATTTAATGGCATAATATGTTCCAAGAAATACCGTTAGCCTGAAGATAGCCTATTAGACTAGGTTGAAAACATTTTTTAAATAAAAGCAAATCCCAGCAGCCTGAATGGTGTTTGTTGATTTATTTTGAATTATTTTGCTGAGGTTGATTAAGATGATAAAATATATTAATTATTTTCAATAAATATTATTGTTTTGTAAAATTACCTAAATTTTTGGTCACAAACTGTTTCAATTTTTTGAATTTTTAAAACAAATTATTGTTTAAAGTTCTTCTAAATAATAATTATAATAATTGATGTATTAAAAATATTTATATTAAATAAAAATAAAAATTATATTTAAATATAAATATTGTTAACAAAAAACCCAAATTATTTAAACCAGGGTTGTCCAACCCATGGTCTGCTTAATATTTTTATATGGCCCACTGCACCCTAAATTCTTTAGGTACATTTCTATTTTGTTTGGTAAAGTATATCATAAACTGGATACATTTTAACTGGATATACAGTAATACCCCGAACTTACGCGATAGGTGGGACTGAGCGATAATCGCGTAAGTTGGGGTATAATTTCCCAATCTGTGTAAAATCCAAGTCGGATGTATGTAAGCTAATAAATGCTCTTGTTAATCTTGTCTCATCTTTTGATTCGTTTACAGTTACAAGAAATCACCACATAGAGTCTCTCAAGGCTCCGTAGATATAACAAAGACAGAAATAAATAACAAAATAAATTGTAGCTATGTGTCAATTCCGCGCGATACGTCCGAACATGTAAGCTGAACAATAGTGTGGGGGGAGTCAGTAATCAACAGTTATGTGGCGCTCAAACAAGAGACGAATCGACGAGATTTGAAAATCGCGTAACTCCGGAACCCGGAGTTACGCAATTTTCAAATTACGCGTACAGTAATACGCGTAAGTCGAGGTATTACTGTACTCATAATGACATAATTTCTACTAGAAACCTGCACTACTGAACGTGCATAACATACTGTTCTGAACAATTCTTTTCATGCATGAAAAACATCAAACTGCTGAAAGAAATAGGTTGAGTGATTCCCATTTAATTAACATTCTTAGAATTAAGAGTAGTACCATAAATGCAGATATTGACAATATTATGAAAGAAAGGCAATGTCAAAACTCACATTGAATTTATATCTATTTTGTGTGAGTATAATTTGTAGTGTTGCAACGAATAGTATATTTGGCCTCAGGCTGAATACTGAATATTCAGCCAGGAGTGTGGCCGAATAGCCGAATATTCGGCCAAACTATTCGGCTTGATTAACGCACGTATGAAAATTGGCACGCAAACCGCATTATGGCAAGGACCCTGCTCTCTATTGGCCCGCTGTCACTATGCTTCACCAATCGCGTTAATTCTTGACAGTTGTAGCGGACAGACATGAGCGTCATGGCAGTATGTGGTAAGTGATGATATCAAATGTGGATAACAATGAAATGACCTACACGTGTAAATAACGGAAAAAGAACAGAGAAGGACCGCAAAGTAAAAATGTGAAAATAAATATGAAAGTATTGCGTGGATAACATAATTGAACAAGTCAAAGCAGCTTATTGGCACGAAATTTGCGGCCGTCAATGCCAAACAATTGTTGTCATAGACTTCGGAACGCTAAATGCTTGTAACGAAAGTCACTTAGCGTGCACGGGCGAAAGCCTGGGACTGTTCGGGCTACCGAGCTGTCTCGAATCTGCGAAATCATAACTGTGACATATACCGACGCCCTATCTGTCTCTTTTCTCTGTTATCACTAGGATATGAGTCACGTAATTATAAAATGGAAAAACTATGATGGAAAAGTGACGAATCGAAAGTATCGCGAGGGCGTATTATGATGTATGCATAGGCATACGTGGACTAGAGAGATAGAGGAAAGAGAAAGGGAAGGGCAAAGACGAGCGCTTAAAAAGAAGGATAGGCAGGGTCAGACTCTCAGATATGTGCAACGATTCTTGAACGAATAGGTGTGTACGTGTGCTGATCTTTGTAATTATAAATTGTGAATACTTGTGACTAATATTATTATTTTTTTTATTTTGTGCATGTTATAAGTTAACCCGATAACATTAAATCTAAATACCAAAATGATTAATTTACTGTGTTTTTGTTATTGCTTACTCCTGTTTCTAGGTATTTGGTATTCAGCCGAATAGTGAAAAATAGGCCAAATACCGAATAGTAACCGAATATTCGTTACATCACTAATAATTTGTTTTTACTGTCAATAATACAGTATTTTTTGTAATTGTATATATTTGTTATCAAAATTAGATATTCACACTTTGAACTTTTTAAAAGCATACATTTATATAAAATACCTTTGTGGCATGCTGAATATATGTAAATTTTTAATTTGGCCTATTAGGAAAAAACATTGGACAACCCTGATCTAAATTTTTTGACAGACCTTAAAAAGTCATGAACGTTAGGCCTCCTGGTCATCCAGATGATAAGGATGTGAAAAATATTCAGCTGTAATATAAAATAATCTTAATGAATAGAAGTGTGATTTTTAAACTTCCTCAAATGAGGAAATTGGAAAGCAGAAAATTTTACAGTGATAGAAAACTCAGAGGAGACTAATAATAACTCTTCTCATAAGCACAACTCAACTCTATTCCATATGTATGTGATGCCATTGAAATAAAAAGACAGATTTCTGATCTGTAATAAATCTAAGATGGATTGATGGAATATAATGTCATTTTTGAAAAGTTACATAAGAAACCAAAACACATATTCTTTAGTGAAATTATTTATGTTTGGGAAGTCAAAGGCAATGATGCACTTTTATCTGTGAGAGCCAAATCCTGAAAGTACTTTAACAATTACAAACAAATACAGGTGAGGAATTGGTAATTTTAATATGTGGCAATAAAGATCATTAAAGATATTTTTCTACAAGGAAGGCGAGAGAGTTATGCTTTTCTGAAACTATACTGTATGAGGGAATTTCCTTCTTCAAACTGAATCGTTATTAAAAACACTAAGGTAGTCTTGAATGATCATTATAGAATGATTATTTTTCTTATGCTTTTTAGCATATTTTTGATTTAATATTTTAATAAAATTCTCATCATTTTATATGAATAAATATTTTCTGTTTTGACATTTTGTGTTCTGTTTTGACTTCATATTATTTAGAGTGTTTTTAATATAAAATATACACTATAATAGATTTAATAAAGTAAATCTTGAAATTTCAACTTAGATCATAATTGTTATTTGAAATTATTTGTGTTTATGTTTATATTTTGCAAGATTATGCATAAGTGATACTATTTACATAAATATTAGAAAATATTAAGAAATAAAGTTTTGAAATTAATGAAAGTATTGTTTAAATGATATGCAAAATAATATGTATTCATTTTAGAAATATTTTTTGTCAGGTGAATCATACACTGCAGCATGAAGGTAAATTTTATTCAATCCCTCCCAAAACATACAAGAAACTTTTTACTCTTGGAGGATTTTCAAAATCATATGAAGCTCAGGTAATAAATTGTTGTGTGTCTTCTATGTGATATATTCTTATAAAAAGTATTTTTATCTATAAAGAAACAACAATAATAATAATAATTTTTAAAAGGATATTTGTTATTGTGCTGCTAATTAAAAATGTTTTTAAAATTAGAAATTCTTCTACATGAATAATTTACTAAAAGTTATCATATTTAGAAATACTGTATAGAAATGTGCAGAAATTTACACATATATGTGCACTCTCAGAAGCCTACATATTTTAAAACAAATGAATGTATAAGATTCTCTGAAATTTTTAAATAAACAACGTTTTGGTTTTTAGAAAATCAAGAAGCCATGTTCATTTACTCCAGTTTACAAATTACTAAATAGTATTAGTTTTGAAAATATTCATTTTTTTTTAAAATTGTTTATCATCACATCATATTTACATGCACTTCAGAATCTCAATTTTTCATTAAAAATAATGCATGAAAATATAATGAATTTAATAATCATATTAATAAAATATATCATATACATATCTTTTTTTTGAATAGTAAATAATATTTTTATATGAGGAGAATCAAAAATTCTTTGCCAGCAATGTTTTTCTAGAAATTTGACTGTTATTTCAGAATTTCAAAAAAGTCCAGTTCATACCCTATTTTTCTATGTAGTTTCCAAAACAAGCCAAATATTTCTCCCATTGTGGCANATATATATATATATATGAAAGTTTTGTTTTTTCATGTAGTTTCTGAGACATGTCAAACATTTCTTCAATTGTGGTATAAATTATTTTTGGATACCACTTCTGTAGAATGTGTCCAGTTGTGTATGCAGCCAAACTTATTTATGCAAACAATTTGAAGACAACAGTCAATACTTTCAGCGCAGTGAGTGATCTACTAAATCCTTCTTCAGGAGACAAAAAAGGTAATAATCACTAGAATGCCAGATCTGGGACTTTATGAGAGATGATCAAAAATGGCCCAACCTGGGGTTTTTCTGGTACTTGTCATTCCATTTCTGAACTATTCACAGTTCTAACTTATACTTTGACATAATTGACAATTGTCCCCATGCATAGTATTAGTTTCTTGATAAATTTTGCTTGCATTCTTGACACAGATGGACACACAAATCAAATCACACTTCTGTATTCCTCTAGGGGCCTTAGTCTCAAGTTTTTCGAGTTGTACTCGAACTGACGTCATCGAACTCACTCGTGTTACTATGACCTACATCAGGGGTGTCCAACCTTTTAGTCTCTCTGGGCCACATTGAAAGAAAATATCGGGTTTTGGGAAAAACGCGAGACTAAGGCCAGAATGGAAATTCACAAAACTCCCACCATTTTTGAATGCCCATATTTCCACCATATCTTACCAAACAATATTAGAAACTGGTGAGACAATGTAGAAGGAATTTCCCTCTCATGTATACTTTAGTTTTGGAATTATAATTTTTTTCAGAAAAATTAGTTGGCAAAGATTATTGATTTCCCTCGTAAGCAAGAAAGGGACATAATCACATAAGACCAATGTGATTATGTCCTTATATTCCTTATGTGATTAGTAGATGTTTTCTGTATTATTAACTGAAGTTGTATCATTCAAACTCGTGATTACAGTGACACTCAATAATTTGATTAACTAAATATAAATATTTTCTACAGTTTTTATTTTATAACAATCAATCAGTTATACTCTTGATATTGTCTCTTTATTAGAGAAAAATATTACTGTTTTAATAATATTTATATCTAATTTTATTTACAAAAAATATATTATGCAATAAATGAATTAGCAGCATTGCAAAGAACTTTTTTTAGATATTGATTTAGAAACCATTATTTAATTACATTTAGTATTAAATTAAATTAAATTTAAAATGGATGAATAAAATATCTTAAACTGTGTTTTTTCCAAATCTCAGACAATTTTTTTTTTTACTATGTTTCTTCCGTTTGATACCATTATGTTTCTTTCTAGTACATTATTCATGTGGAAAAACAGTAGTTAAATACCGTATTTTACGGACTATAAGATGCACCTTAATTTTTAAAAAAAAATAACATTTTAACATTTTTACCGCCTAAATTCAATCTTTTTATACAGATTGAAGCAAATACTGATCCACCAATCAATGTTTAGTAGTGCTATTGGAAGTCTGCTGATCGTACAATGGTTGCATGATGATCTCTGGCCAATCCACGGTCGTGGGTTTACAACCACCGGTCGTCTTGTGATCTGAGTTTATATGGCAACAACCGTTGCTCGTTTGAAAAGAGAAAAAGTGCGGGAATCGTACGTCCAGACGATTCTATCCCGACACCCTGCAACTCATGTTCATCGCATCGTTGCACTGATGCTGCCAGTTGAATTCAATGTTGCCAGATAGAGATAGGTTTCCCGCGGCATAAAATATACGGTCATTTTTAAGATGCGGGAATTTTAAATCAAACACTGGACATTTTTATATTAATTTCAAGTATAAGATGCACCTGACTTTTGGAGGCAATTTTTCAAAGAAAAAAGTGCATCTTATAGTCTGTAAAATACGGTATATAATTTAGATTCTTTAGATTATTTTTTCTCAAAATATTTTGTTATTCATATACAGTTTTAAGATGATTTTGGTTAAGAATCATTTAATGTTGTTTGAAATGTATTATGTAAATTAAAATTATTATTTTAAATTATTAATTACAAATATTAAAAATACGTGTAGATACAGATTAAAAAATTCATTATAAATAATAATTCAAATATTTATTAAAATAAGTGAAAAAAACATTTTGCAAGAATATTTTCTATAAAATATTAATTAATATCAATTACCAAATGATCAAAAAATATGTGATATGATTTGGCAACTGAAAGATAGAACCATTGCTTACAAAAAGTGGCACTTAGATTAATGTTTCACAAATTCAGTATAAGTATTATTTTTGTTCAAATTGTTTATATTCTTTATATACTTCTGGATTAGTTTGTTTTTTAAAAATACAGTCAAGTTTGCATAAGTCATCTTAAGTCTATGTAACTATATATATTTGTTTACCTTGTTTACAATGATAGAAATTGGAAAATTTTAGGCAAACAATATACTATAGGTACTGATTTATATTTTCTGTCAAAACATTAGCACAGCATTAAATTTATTTTTCTCTATAAAAGATTGTTGTTTTTTCAACAGTCAGTGTTGCTTTTTCAATAGAATAAAGGTGATTCTTTCTCTTTATTTAATTTGTTAACAAACTAAAAACCAAATAAACAAAATCCATTAACATTTTTGAATATGAAATTAGAATTTTTTTTACAGAAAATAATTTAAAATTTGTTCTTATTTTTAGAATAACATAACTATACTTTGTCCAATGATATCTAATTTAGAAATTTATAAAGAATTGAATTTATATGTGATAGTTTAAATTTTTAAAAGTCACGAAATGAAAATAGAATTCTTTCATATTTCGAAACCGTGTTGTATCTTTATGTTATTTTTTCAAAACCGCAATGCAGCGTAATAATCAACACTTGGCATAACTCATTCATTTATTTCAGTTTTTGTTGAGACGCATTCTTACACACGTTTCGGGCTTTGTTTTGCCCCTCTTCAGTCAACTAGAAACATATAAAACCAACTTTATACACATTATGACCGGACGTATGAATTTAAAAACTTTAAAAAGGGTTTTAAAAGATATGTTACTTGTAAATTATAAAAATTTTTTAAGTTTTTAAATTCATACGTCCGGTCATAATGTGTATAAAGTTGGTTTTATATGTTTCTAGTTGACTGAAGAGGGGCAAAACAAAGCCCGAAACGTGTGTAAGAATGCGTCTCAACAAAAACTGAAATAAATGAATGAGTTATGCCAAGTGTTGATTATTATGCTGCATTGTGGTTTTGAAAAATAAAAGAAAATAGAATTATTTGATAACAGCTATAATCTTTCTTCTCTTTTTTATTGTCATGCATATTATAATTAATGATTAATGATGTAAGAAACAATAAGGTGAAGTTAATGAAAGAGTTCTGTTCTAAGCTGAAGGTTTGTGATCCATTTATATTGTTTCATGAACAAAAGAAATATTCTAGTTGTTTTCAAATAGAAAATAAGAAACCAGCATCCAATGAACAAGAATAAAAAGGGTTTTTTTTATGGGTTATAATAGTTTTTGGTAATTTATTAAATTAAATTTATACTTTAAAAGATCTGTAGAAAATATTTAAAATGTTCACATTAATGATTTATGTAAAATACAGTAGATCCCCCCTATAAGACGGTAGATACGTTCCGTTCTTTATGAATCAGTTTTGTAGGAATCATAGTTTACGGACTACGGCTGTTTGAAAAGTTTTCTTTCATAAAATTAATCGATTCTAGACTAATTCGACTCAACATTTCCAAAATACGTATATTTTTTTGAAAATAATCCGTATAAACTACGTTATAAACAAAAAATTGTAGGATTGCTTACCGAGTGTGTACCGTTCGACTACGCCCGTTGCTAAAGCTTGGTTTCGTCGCGGAACAGCGCATCAAACCGCGGCCGCGATTTCTGATATTATTTTTCTGCGAAAACTTCGTTGACCTTTGGAGACATCCTTAATATAAATAATTTTTATGGCCGTTAAATAAGAAATGTTTCTTTCACAAGAAATGTATAAAATTACAGTACTGGACAGACGATAGGTCGCCTAACTCGCCGTAGCGTGACGCTAGACGGCGAAAAATATATATTTAATTATAATAAAGTTACAATAAATTAAGTTAATATATAATTATATATACAGTACCTAATTTATATATAATTAATATATAATTATATGTACAGTACCTAATTTATATATAATTATATGAACAGACGATACTAAACTCAATTTATCCGCCTAAACGTCCGTAGCGTGGCGCTACGGACGGCGGGAAAGTAGTTCGGCTGCCCGATGACGTTTTACGTATTATAGGAGTTATTTTTACCGTTGTTTACGGATACTGCCACAATTTTTATAGGAATCATAACTATAGGAAACGGTTTTATAGGGGGATCTACTGTAATTAGTTTTTTATCTTTACAAAATATTATAATGAAAACTTTATATTGTGTAGTTCAAAACTTTTAGAGAAAACTGTATTATGGTGCGCTACCCGGCTTTGCAGATTATGAATTATTTGGAGACTGCAAATTATTCTCTTCCACCTGTTCATTATGTGATTTGTATCCTTTGAATGTAAACTTATATTAGTTGAAATGTCAAATTGATTTAACAATTTATGATTACATCTATGAGATTTATAAATATCCTTAATGTTCTAAATAATAAGTAGAGTGTAAAAATTTAATATTTACACATCTAAAAGTTACTTTTAAGAAAGATAAATAATTTAGAAAATATAATATACAACAGACAGCCTCTTATGCATCACAGTGGAACCTGTATCTAGTTAGTTAATCAAAAATATTGGTTAAAGCACAGAACTGATAATGAGCTGTTATTCATGTTATACATTTTGTAGTAACTGTTTTAGGTCCAAATATTGAGAATTAATGATAACAATTGCATCTGTTAAATTTATATTTATTATTATTATTATTTTAAAACATTCTGTTTATTACTTTAAAAATCAATATATATATAAATATCAATACCACCACTTAAAATTTCACTCGGAGATTATCTTAAACGTAAAAACAAATTTATTGTTTTCCATAATAAAATAAGTTATCACTTCACGCTGACTTTATAATTATTGTAAAATCACTTATGTGTTGTGGCGTTACCACGGTTACACATAGTTTGCAAAATTTTATAATTTTCCATTCCATTTTGAAACATTTTTCTGTGGTAACGCCACAACACGTAAGTGATTTTACAATAACAAATTTATTACAAAAATCTTTGAAATAAAAATTCCAACAATTTACTTCTTTCTGCCAGTTTCCATCCTGATTGAAAAATGGTTGTGTATGTTGTGTACATTGCATTATTACATGAAAATGAAGTTAGTTTTTGGAAGAAAATTTAAATATGCAACAGACTCTCACTGTTATCATCAGTATAAATTTTTCTAATGATTATAAATGCTGTATGCTTTTTGTCAGTTATCTCAATGCAGTATTATAACTTTCAGACTGTATTTCTGAAGTAGAACTTTCAATTCATGAATCTGAATTCATGTTCCTAATATCCAGGGCTGTGGAGTTACGTAAAAATCTACCGACTCCGACTCCGACCAGGGGTAGACTTGTTGCCGAAAGAGACCCGGAAATTCTGATGTCATCACGTGACCTCAGAATAAAAGATTCAATAAATGGAGTTCTAATAAAGATAGAGCGTAGAAACTTTTTATTCCAAAGCTAAAATACTTCTCTAAGTAATATGTAAATATGTATTCGATAATTTTTATTTTTCTGGCTGTTATATTTAAGAGGAAAAGTGTAGCGCTGGGTCAAAAAATGACCCTTCCCAAATTTTTACATTTTTGGATTCAGGACACCTTGAAATTTCGAGATATGCAAAAGATTCAAGGTTTTTTTCTATATGTGTGGATGTTAGACTGTGTGTGGGGGACATGATTTTGTTCACCCTGTTTGAAGCCTAATAATTTCTGTGGTCAGAGTGGACAGAATCGGAGTTTGATGGTTTAACACAGGAGTTAGTTATTAAGCGTCAAAGTTGTTGAACTAAATTGTGTCCCCATTTACATTGTAACATCTTAGGCAAGAACATCTTAATGGGTTTTACTGTACTATTATAAAGTGACAAAAAAGCGTACTTTGAAGGTAGTGACGAGTTTTATTTTATTTTTTTAAATTTTGAACGCTAATAACAAGTAAAATATTCATTAAGAGATATGACATATGAACACTTTTATGTCATCACCCTGTTGACCTTTAATTAAGAACCTAAATTTAATAGTATTAATGCCTTTTTATATGCCAGCTACAGTGCCACATTTTGTTTTTTAAACTTTACCCATTCTGAGATATTGTTTAATATCTCAGAACGGAAAATAAAGAAATTAAAGAAATTAGACGTTAACACACACGTGCATGTGAATTTTTTCTCTTTTATTGACTTTTTTGAGGAGTTCGGGGATCTCCAAATGTGTAGATTTGCAAAAAAAGAGAAAAAAACTTGGATTGTCAAATTTGACACAATTCCAATACTTTTCCGTTTTATATACATAACAAGTTGGTAAGTAAAAAGGAGTCGGAGTCGGCAGATTTTTTGACGACTCCGACTCTAGCTAAAACACCAAAACTCCATGACTCCGACTCCACAGCCCTGCTAATATCTTAAATCTGAAAATGGCTATGGTGCAACTTAAAGTTGACAAATTTTATGTTTTAGCATGTCATTTTTGATGGATTATGGCTAGTTCAATCAATGTAATTCTTCTAATTTTTATTTCTTTTGAATTTAAAGACACTTTATTATTTCCATACAATGTTGGAATTTTCAAAGATCGGGCTTAAAAATGAATAGAGAACTTATAAATTACAGCAATGCAGCAAAAAGCTGGCTTCCAATAGAAAAAACAAATAAATATTGCCCATATAAAATTAAATGTTTGAAAACATAACAAAAATAAAGTGACAGCAAATTATTGGCAAATTAGTTTAAGTGCATTTCATTTTTTACATACTTTTCTATAAGTAGTAAAATTTATACAGAAAAATTTTTATATTGGTAATTGATTAGCATCCTTTATAGAAAAAAAAGATAAAAATTTGGGAAAACATAAATAAAAACTATTAGATAGAAGCAACACAATGAAAAATTAGTACTATAAATACTTTCAAGAACTGTCTTCTCATTCAAAATTATAAGATTTGGAATTAATAAAAGTAAAGAATTTTATATAACACAATAAAGAGAAAAAACAAAATTTGTAAAAATTCATTATAAATATTACAATAAAAATATTACTTGAATTTTGTTTTTAGAATAAACATCTAATGATCAGTGCTGCTTATAAGTTATTTATTTTACAAAATTACACTGAAGGGCATAGTTAGACCAATTATAATAAGTGTTTCTGTAGCAAAATGTGGAATGGTCTTACTGGGGAGGAAAAGAGAGTTTGGGTCCCATCCCCTAAAAAATTTTAAAATCTAATACTGTTAAATAATGTACAGTACATAGGCTACAGAATGGTGCAAAAATGTTCAAAATTTAAATGTTAAAAATTATATATTTATATAAAAACTATAAATGATCAAATAAAATTTTGCCAGGGGTAATCCAACCACCTTCATCAAAATTCTATTTGATTATTGGTTTTCTAGCTAAGGGCATGTGTCACAAAATGGCCATAAATGTGTTTTGGACAGTTGTGAAATGAATAGATTAGATTACAAGACAGTCATTGATCATTAGACAATTGTTATAAAATGAGAATTTGAGGATTTAAGAAGCACAGCAAGGTTTTGGCTTAGTAAAAATATTACTTACCAAATTATTATTGGATATAATGTATAGAATTTGATATTTGATTAAAAAATACATATGGACTGTTCATTTTGAAAGTGGTGTAAGTCCATTTTCTGCAGTCTAATTAAGCACTTGGGCTGTCCATAAATTACATGTGCATTTTTCTTGAAATTTTTACTCCCTTCTCCCTCTTGTCCCAGTTTGTCCAAGTTTTTGTAACCCCTTCCTTTCTTTGGATGTCTGACATAACTCAACTCCCATTAAAACCTTCATCACTTTATGAATGATACCATAAGTAGAAATGAAACATACAAGAAACTTTGAAATAAATATAATAAAATGCATAAACTGTATAAAATTTAATGAAATAAATGGATGTCCACTAATGCTCATCCCCTCTTGTCTGACTTGTCTTAAGGGAGGAGGGTTAACCTCTCCTTCCCTTCCAGCGTGGACATCATTTATGGACAGCTCCTTACAACAGAGGAGTAAAACTATGAATTTTACCAACAAATGTACAATTTGATAGAATGGAAAAAAATTCATGTAATGAACCTAAATGAAAAGCAGTGTCTAATGGTAAGCTTATAATAATGATAAACTTATCATAAAATAGTTTAACAGTTAGTAAATATTTTTAATGTTCAGAAAAAAACAACACTATTTTATTTCTTGTTATTATATATAAACAAAATCATAATAAAACACAATGTGTTTCAAGTGAAATTGAGTTCTACATAATGGACATTTAATGAATTTTACAGTTCAATAATTATGAAAGTGGTGTAAGTACATTTATGGCCCAGAAAAAATATAGTAGTTTAGTTAAATTCACATAGAAGTCTTTATTCAGTCAACTTAGATATTTCTAAAGTCATAGAAACATTGTCAAACTTAGTACATTTTATTTATATTTTTGAATCAACTAAAATGCAAATGCTTAAAATATTTCAAAAGAAGAAAAGATGGACTTACACCACTTTCAAAATAAACAGTCCATATATTTTTTTTATTAGTCCCTTAATATCTGTAGATGGTCGAAACGGAACGGGAAAATCAGCCATTCTCAATCATATAGTTCATTATGCCTCAGAGAAAAACTGGCTGGTACTTCACATTCCTTGGGGTAAGCGAATACAAGATAATTATCCTAAGATAAATTTTAGTGCATTGATTTCAAAAGATATTATTAAAAGTAAAATTGTTAACAAAAAATAATATTACTATTGAATTTCAGATAAATTTTACAAATCAATATTCATTTATAAACATATTCATTTTAATAATGTTGTTAATCTTATTGAGAATGTGCTTGTTATCAGAATACAAATGGTGACGTCATGATTATTTTATTGTAAATTGTTTTGTAATTTTGATAAATATGACACTTTTTAACTTACATTGTATATTATATATAATATTTATTTGTTTTAAATTTTAACTTTTAAATTCTTGTTTGTACAAATATAGATTTGACAAATAGAAAATATATTTTCATCATGCTTGGTTTTGTTACTTTTACTTACATCCTATTAGTCTCTTTTTTTAACACTGTGAAACAGAATTTTCTGGCAAAACATTATTCATAATTTTGAAATTTTTTCTATCTCTTATTTTCTTTGAGGAAAGATTTAGCCTTATGTTAAAATATGAGAAATTTTTAACCTTCTGTAATCTTTCAAAGCAGATATTGTTCATATTAGTGAGCAATAGAGATCTGCTTGGCTTACATAAGTAATAATACACTGACTTCTGTTTATTATCAGATATCAGAATACTTAAGCTATATAATTGAATACATTTAATTTTTCTCGTTACTATGATCATAATTACATTAATTACAAATGAGATATTGTCAGTCAATATTGAATAGACATGTTGAAATTATGTACATTGTTATAAAACAAGTACAGTGGAACCTCGGTATACGTCTGCTTTAGAATACGTCCAATTCGGAATACGTCCTGTTTGGACGAAACAAATTTTGCTCGGTATACGACTTAATTCAATTATACACGCCATCTATGAACAAGTAGCACTATCGGTGTACTAGACCAGATTAGACGTTCGCGGTGCCACGGTTTATAACTTTGTTAAATTTCTTCTGATTTTAATTTGTAAGTAACATTTTATTATTTTTATTAATCATGAATTGCAAAAAGGCAACAGAAAAATAAAAAATGACTAGAATCACAACAGAACTGAAAAAAGAGATTGTTGAGAAATATGAAGGTGGCATGCGTGTTCGAGATTTAACTGTTGCATTCAGTATTCCGAGAACAACGATATCAACAATAGTGAAAAATAAAGACATTATTAAATTTGCTAACATTGCGAAAGGGGTTAAATCAATTTCTAAACAGAGATTGAAGACATTAGATCGAGAAATTGCTTTTGCTTTGGATAACTGAAAAACAGTGCACTGGTGACAGCGTATCAGAAGAAATTATTTGTGAGAAAGCTAAAAGGATACATGCTGATGTCGTGAAAAATCAAGCAGAAACTAGCGAGAAAGCGAGGCGTTTAAAGCCAGCCATTTTTTTACATGAGAACGGATTAATCATTTTCACATTATTTCTTATGGAAAAGGTTGGTTTGGTATACGTCCTATTCGGTATAAGTCCAAACACCAGGAACGGATTAAGGTTGTATACTGAGGTTCCACTGTACTTTAAAAGAATCAATTCATGCTACATAATTAAATGATAAGGGATTGCAAAGTAGTCAAAAAGACTAATCAAGTAACTAAACACCTTATTCATTGCTGAGGGGGGTTTATTAAAAACAAACGTTTTTGATCTATTCCGAGTAGATTGAAAACATTCATTTTTAATAAACCCCCTCATCAATGAATAAGGTGTTTAGTTACTTGATTAGTTCTTTTTTGCTGAGTACATTTCTGTTAAACGTCAAAAAAGATTTTACTTATTTTCTGCTTGCTTTTCTTCTTTGCTAATTTTTGTTTTTTCACCACGAAATAAAGAAATGTCTGATATCTTATTTGCTTTTCTTATGTCATATTCAGTTTTTGTATTTCATATTCCTTTTGTGTCAGTGAATAGTTTAATTGACACTGTTTGTTTTATTTTATTTAGATTCATTGATTGATAGGTAAATAAGTGTTCTGTAGAACATTAATGTTATTTGGAGAATGCAATGTGATTGGGTTATACCAGAGCAAGTTACAAATTTAAGTCACAAGAAATAGTAAGTTCATCTTGATATGAGATTTTGAGTTAGGATAGATTTTTGGGCACAAAGTACCATGGTCTGTCCCAAAAGTAATTGTACTGATTTTTTATTTGAAAACTGTGCAGCATAACACATCATTAATTGTATTTTAATGTTGCTAGATATCTTAACAGCATGTCTGGATCTGTTTCAAGTTGATTGGTTAATTAAGTCAAACGTGCATAATCTCTGTGTGTGTAAGATAGTGTTTTAATACATTGTTATGTTTGAAATGGAGAAAAACTCGGAAAAACATTAAGCTATCAACTTTTGTGTGAAAGTCAAGAAATCTGCAATCGAGACATTTGCAGATGTAACTGATGCTTATGGAGATGACACTTTATCAAGAAACATGGTGTTTAGATGTCACAAAGATCCAGGATAAAGATGATGCTTATTGTTTTTTTTTTTTTTTTTTTTGATAGCAGTGGAATTGTACACAAAACATTTTTACCTTCGGGACAGACAGTTAATCAGGCCTTCTACAAAGATATCTTGGAACGACTTTGAAAACAGGTCAAGCAAGTCCACAGAGACATTGCAGAAGTTTGGGTGCTGCACCATGATAATGCACCTGCTCACACAGTGCTATCAATTTGAGAATTTATGGCCAAGAAAAAATCCCCCACTCCCACAACCTCCCTACAGCCTGGACCTAGCTCTGTTTGAATTCTACCTATTCCCTAAGATAAAATCCAAGTTGAAAGGTTATCATTTCGGGACAGTGGAAAACATCAAAAAACTTGCAACGGACAAATTAAACATCCTTACGAGAAACGACTTCAAATACTGCTACGACCAGTGGAAAAAACTTTGAAACCACTGTGTGACCTCACAAGGGTTGTACTTTGAAGGAGATCGTTTGTAGTTTGATGTAACTCTTGTACACTTTGAAATAAAAAAATCAGTACATTTACTTTTGGGACAGACTTCGTATGCTTGAAAATCAGCATTGCATTGTATTGTCTGAAGCTTGAAGTGATGTCTAGAAAATCATCAAGGAGTTGGATGGAATATGTTTCAATATTTGCAAATGTTAATTACTTCTATGATTAAAAAAATCCAGCAACATGTTGCTTAACTTCCATGGCAGCATTTAAAACTGTGTGTGGTGCCATCTGTTTATAATCAAAGGTGATATGTATGGATTGTTCATTTTTGGTGTCATTCTAAACTTTGTTTCTGTTTTTGTCTTCATCATCAATAATTGCAATTATAAAAATAACAAAAGAAAACAAACATTTCACACAAATATGTATTAAAACAGAACACACAGAGAAACTTTTTATTAAAAAGAACCCATTGAAATTAAATGGTCACATATGGTAGTGTTTATTATAAATATAAATGACTAGTTTCAGCATATTTTTGTTATACAAATAAGATGCATTAGTTTCACAGAGTGTTTACTTTCTTAATTACATAATTTCTCAGAAGTTTTGTAGTTATCAATACTTGTTTATAAAATAAATTTAAACTTGCCATTTTTCATTATTGCAAAAGTTTTATTAATATATAAATAAAAAAAACATCGTTTTCAGCTCCAAATTGGACTCGAAGGCCTAAGGACACTGCAACTTCGCTTTGGGATCAGGATACTAATAAAATGGATCTCCCGATCGACTCGGCTCTGTGGCTGCAGCATTTTCACTCGCAAAATACTTTGTTGCTTCAGGAGTTAGATGTAAGTTTTATTAGTTATTTGGATCTAATATTTTTAAAATTAGAAGTCATCTTTGATTACTTTATTTAATTAAAAAGATTATGGTAATTTCTCAAAAAATCTTGAACTTTGATACTGTATTTAGAGATTATTCTTTAATAATTATTTGAAAATCTTGTTGTAACTAGATTTTTTAAAAAAATTTCAATTTATCATAATTGCTGTAATAATTTAAAATATTAAATTTTTAAAATTTCTACGATATACAAAATAGTAGAGAGGTAAATGCCATATTTAGTTTATATCAATTTGAATTATCTTGATAAAGTCTATGCAAATTTTTTATTTGGTGAATATATTAGATGCCATGCAAGGACTACAGTGACTATTACATTGGCGTGTTTTTTCAATAATATATAATGCAATTTTTTAAGTAAATTTTACATATTTTTTTCATTTTATTTGGTATTTAATGGTGTTATTTGGAACAAAATTGTAAATAATTAGCAGTGGCAGAAGCTGCAGATATATGGATGTTCAAAGCACTAAGGTATTCTAATGCTTTATCTGTGAGTGTATATGTTTGCAAATAACACCAAATTTCTGGTAATTTTATACACTAGTTTTGTATTAAATTCTTTTAGAAAACATTTACAGATGAAAAAAAACTTTGAAATAATGTTATATATTTGATTAAGTAAAATCATCATGCCTATTTGAATCTTAGTTCTTATGCTAGAACATATTTTTGATTTAGTGTGAGAACATGTAAGATTTGGAATTAATTTACCCATATTTACTTGAATGAAAGATGAACTTTTTTTTAGGTTTTATCATCTCTAAAAGATAGGATGTTTCTTAAATTTGATGTAATACGTCATAATGATGGTAATGTCTAGTGTCATATGTGTGAGACCTGAAAGGCCCCTGGGTCTAAAATTAATAACTATTTAATAATGTTAAATATTGTCATAAAATATTATTTCATTTTTGGTGAGAAAGTAACGTTTTCCAACGTGGGAAAGATAGATAACAGATGCTACTTCCTTTGAGGGAAGTTCGTACATCCTCTGTTTTCCCTTATCCGCTAAAAATCTCGCTCAGATGGGAACTAACTACCCCTCTTTGATTCCCCTTTCATCCGTTCACATGAAAGAGTTTCTGGCAAATGATTGGTCGTAAATCATGAGATATAGGGGAAATTTGTCAGAATTCGGGGAGTTCATCGACAGACCTGGAAGTGTCCGGACTCCACGTGTTTTCCTCCTGATGACCAACGCCCTTAGACAAGTCACATAGAATAATTCCAGAGTTAGCACTTAGAAGTTATACTTTGATTTTGTGCACATATCGATCTCCCATGGAAAGAAATAAATGAACTTTATCTCTGAAGTGTCCCTTACCTACAGAGAGAAGACGAAAGACAACTAAACCAGGTTGTATGTTTTATAACGATATTGTAATCTCTCTCTTGATCTTGTATCGGTTATAATAGGGTTGTATATCTCTCTACGTGTATTTTAATTGTAGTAGTTATATCATTCCTTCATTTAATATTTTGTATTAGTTTTTATTTTCTTATGTCTTATTAAATTTATTGTTGTTTGTTTATCAAATGAAATGACTCTTAATTTGTGTCTGAATCAGATCTCCTACGCATGTTTGTCCGCGGAATTAAATTGACAAACTGGTGTCACGAATCCTGACGTTGGATAAAGACTTTGCCGTCTATATCCTCTCTAATATTAAAGAGCCCTCCCGGTCAAAATCCTGATTAGGATCGGATCTCTCGATCTGAAACTCAGAACAGATTTCGGTTAATCTGAGCCTGTAAGAGGTATAGGATCAACCCTATACCCGTGGCCGATCTCACATATGTCTGTCACTAGAAACCATTAATTTCATTGTGTCATTTTAATGATTTCATTAGACCAATATACATATTAGCAAATATTTAAGAGGTTAACTTAATTTATTCTAATTAGTTTATTACAATAACACCATAAATACTTGAATGAAATTCACAGAAAAAATAGTGCAGCACTATTTCAAGAAATCTTGCATATCCAATGCTTTAGATAGCACTAAGGATGATTGCACGTGAGTAGACGTGACCATGAAATCCAATGCCAATTCAGAAGAACCTAAAACGGAAAGTGAAGATGTTTCTGACTTTGATACATTGAAAGATAGTTATATATGTAATTTACTTTTTTGAATACTGAACATATTTATGTCAACAGAATCGGTTATGTTGTCATAAATTTATTTGGAGTTATCTATTTTTTTCAGGAAATAATTTTTTTGGGGGAACATGTATAAATTAAGGTGCATCTTAGATTTGATTGGCATCTTACATTTACGTAAATATAGTATGTTGTATGAAATAATTAGAAATGGCTAAATAAAAATGAACTGTTTAATTAAATGGTTAATCTGTTTGTTTGATTTAAGATAACTTAAGAATTAATAGAGCTCATAAAAGTTTGATAAAACAAGATTAATATAAATATTAATAATTAACTCCAATAATTTATTCTACCAACCCATAAGCACCTCTTCCCACTGTACGGATTTTCTCGTATTTCTCCATCTTCCCAATACATTCACATCTCGTAAACATGTGTCTTCCCACCAAAACAAGCTCGGTTATACCCTCTAGCGGAAAACTATTTTGTAAATGTCAAAATTTAAATTACAAAGTATTCATTACCGACTCGTATAACTTTGTTTTCTGATTATTGTTACAGAGAAAATTTTAATTAAAAAATTGACACATTGAAACAATATATCGCTTCTTTTTAATTTCCATAGCAATAATAATAAAGCGCTGAGGAATCCTCCCATTGAACGACTTTTAGAGGAACAGAATGGAGTTAATTTTTATACACATTCGGTTTATCGAGCGAGGAATAGTGTAATTCACGAAAGTAATAATTTAGATTCTATAAACATTTTTTTATTTTTTGCCAACTTTCAAGGGCTTTTGCCCCCTGTGTGACGCTCGAATCGACGGTGAGTAGCAAGGTCTATGGGTGCGTATACTTTTTGCTAGCTTNTAAACAAGATTAATATAAATATTAATAATTAACACAATTATGTAAATTATATTATAAGAATTCTTTTTACCTCTGTTCTTACTGTATTACATTTCTATGTATATATTGTTTATTTGGACCTTGTTTATTAATAGGACTTATTATACTGATGTAGTTTCTGATTAGCAAAGAGAGGCAATCTTAGTCAATAGAAAATATCTTTATTTTCACCTGTACCCACTTCTGTGTTTTGGACCTGAAGGTCTCACTTCACCAGGTTTACATTCTATAAATTGTGTATAATAAACTTTTTTAAAAATGATGACATTACACCCGACAATAATATTTAAGATAAGATAAAATTACTTACTTTTATTTTATTGTTCAATATTAAAACAACACCAATATTGATATAAAGTGTCCAAAAAACAGAGTGTAATGTACAGTACCTGTCTTAATGTTTTCTAAATAACACCTGTATGAAATGATAAACCTTTTAAATAATTTTAGTTTTTTATGAAATGTTAAAAATATTTCTGTACTCACTGATCTTGGTTAGTTATTTTCTTGGTTTAATGTTTTTCCATATTACATCCTTTTTCTGTTATATTTTTCATTGTTACTTTTGCTTCTATTTATTATGCTTTCTCTAAATGATACTGTTCCATAATTTCTCTTCCCAAATTATTATTAATTTTATTACCTTGTTTTTTTTATATAAATATGTTCAAATAGTTATCTTTTAAATACATTTCTTTTGTTTTTTCTTTATTTTATTGTACTTAAATTAATTTCACATCCTTTTCTGTTGTAATGCTTGGCTACTGCTGAATTTGCATTATTTCCTTTAACTACACTGATATGTTCCTTTATATGTATTTTAAGTTTTCTTTTTTTCACTTATGTATATGTTTTTCTTATTCACAACTAATTGAATAGAATATACTACTACTTTTTCATCTATTATTTCAATTTTTTTATTATCAGGTCAGTCCATAAGTTCCTTCGTATTTTATGACCTTGAGAAAAATCTTGTTTTGCTGTTAAAAATGCTGGTCTAATGTGATACTTTTTACACTGAAGTGTTAAATTGGATCTCATTCATATAATACTGTTCAGAATTGGGAACATTTCAGTTGTTTATTTTCGTTAAAATGGAAGTAACAGATGAATATAAGAGACATGTTTTATACTTTTTATTTTTAAGTGGTGAGAATGCTACAAATGCAGCCAAAAAATTAAATACTGCTTATAATCAAACTGTAACAAGTGTAAGGACTGCGCAGAAGTGGTTTGAAAGATTTAGAAATAATGATTTTAGTGTGGAGGATAAGGCTCGT